TACTAGTAGTAACAAGAAGCTATTAGAAACAAGTGCCACGCTAGTAGCAACAGCCTGTCATCTTCTCATATCTTCTCTCGCGCCCTTCATGGACCGTCCTTGGTCGACCGGACTCCGAAGATCCGTCCTTGGCCATTGGAGTCATCCCCATGGCGCTTAAGGCGCTCTGCGCTAGGGAGAGTCCTGGTGCGCAAACAGCATGGAGGAAGTGCCAGCAAGCTCTAAAGAAACGTAGCAAAGCCTTGTTTTATCTTGTTTGGGGTTCCCATGGTGGGATAACATGTTCTTAGCACTCTCGAAAAAGCCATCAGGTTCCACCTTCTGATAATTTTGGATGATTTCCTCTACAGTCGTGGTTGATGTTGGTTTTCGGAAGGGTCAGATTGATGAAGGGCGGTGAACATCCAATGTCGTCACTTTTTTTTTGAAGGGAACTGTTCATGGCAGTCTGTCAATTCATCTTTGAAAAGAAGGGCAGCCTTGGGGCACCCAAATCTTTAAACAAATGGCAGGCTTCTGTGGTGTTCGCATGTTTTCCCTTTCTCCCTTGCAGAAAAAAGAACCATCCAATTCCCAAAACGGTTCAAACACTGTGGACCTCTTCGACATCGTCGAAACCATCGTGGTGTTCGATTCTTAGAACACCCTCTCTGCGAACCTGGCCCACCACGACGCAAGGATAACCGCAGTCCTCCAGAAGGGGGGACCCATGCTCTTCCCCATGCCTTTGCCTCCAAAACCTCCTCCTCCAAAACCTCCAAAGCCTCCACGGCTTTGCTTGGAGGAGTCCTCCAAGGCCGGCACAAATCACGGTATCGCGGCGGCCTTCCGAACACGATAGGGCCATACGGCGTACGGTCTTTTTGGTGTTGGATCCATGTGGGGTCATCCCATGTCATGCCAAAATGTATGAGGTCTGTTCAATGTGCTTTGAACTTGATTCTGTGATATATATATATATGTTTTTGGCCAAACGCACCGGTGAAGTCAAATGAACAAGTGTAGAGTGCAATGCAGTGCTGATTCAGAAAAGTCAATGTACAGGTACAGGATGTGAATCCCCAACGGCAAAAAAATTGTTCAGCCGCCTAGTAGAATCATGATCAAGGTCAGCGAAGCAATGCACACAAAAAGGAACCTTAGATTGCACCACATTGTGTGTCCAATCCACATGGCGCGTTGAAGCAGAATCCTGTAAACTTAGCATCCTGGTAAGAGATCCCCGTACAGCATCGTGAATCTTGCCAGGCGGTATTCCTGGTGCTAATCCGGCAAAAATAGACTTCCGTATGGCACGAAGCAGCGAGGTGTTCTGGCCAAAGCACTGCACGTTTCAACAAACATATTTTCAGCAACATTCCTACAATGAGCAAACAAGCAACGGAGCAACGGTCTGGCCAAATAGTGAGGCACTAGGGGACTACAGGTGTGTTTATTGATGATTTGTCTGCCGTTGGCATCGTTGTTTCCAAAGAAGGAGAAACGCAACATACGACAACATCCAACAATTTACCACATCCCACCGGTGCAAAGCCAAACACGCTGCTGTAACTACAGAGCATGGGTTGACAAACATCCCGGCGGGTTCATTTTCGAACGTGTGTTTTGTACCTTCGCAGGATTGTCCATCTGACTCAAACGAGTACTGTATGTTTCAATATGTTGGTGCATCGAAGACTGCCTCATGATGGCATTTCCACTGGGTTTCACAATTCATCTGTGATTGGCAATGTAAAGCATGTGTCAGACCATTCAAAAAACAATCTCAGCTTTAGGAAAATCAGCGGCATCACGCCCTTCGGTCTTTTGCACATTGTGCGCAGCGTGTGCGCTGTGAGTGTGGCCAGGGTGTCATAACGACAACGTTTCGATTTCAACGACAATGTCATGGATAAGAACATAATGTGATGAACCCGATGATAATGTTGTGAAGCCAATGACAATGTTGTGAAACCGATGACACTGTTATGAAACCAATCATAAGTGCTGCCCCACCCCCCCCTCCACCCCAATGCAATCACATGGTCATCCGATGACAATGTTGTGAAGCCATGGCAATGTTGTCGATGACAACTCTGCATATTACATCATATTACACAAATGGTACAACTGCACGTGCCGTTTTCCTCCCGTTGGCACAAACATGGTCACCTTTCGGAGCAGAACATGGTCACCTTGCACACATGGGTTGCTTCGATTTCCACCGACATCAACGACTCGACCCTCTGACCCAATATTGTGCACTGGAACCGTCCTTTTGCTCAAAGTCAAATGGCGTTACTAACAACTAAACAAATCTAAAGAAAACCTATATGAGCAGCGGACAAAATTACTTGTGTAGCGCAATACCATTTGACATGATTATCGTTTTTTGGTGGGGTCCATATCGTTCTCCAATGTTTCTCCAAACCGTAGTTAGCATAGCATACCAGCACATAGGCTAAAACACAAAATATGACTCACAACCTCAGATTAGAGGCTTACAGTGCTTTCTGCACAGGAATGGCGCAGCACTTGATTTATGCACTCGGACCAACACTAGTAATGTGGAGAAGTAGGTCTACGGAGTGCCTGGCGTGACATTTAGGTTATCGTTCGCTTATCGTTTGGATTATCGTTTGGAAAGTTGTCTGGGATTATCATTGATGAAAAGAGGTGCCCATCGGTTTAGCTCAAATATGCTCAAATCAACTTGCAAATGCAATCGCATCTGGTAACCACAAACATATTTGTACCCACTACATCTTAACAAGATTATCGTTTTTGGTGGGGACCATATCGTTTTCCACAGAAACAAAGCCCTCAACATAGGTTTAGGGTCATGCCGTGACTAAATAAGTCAGCCAATAATTTTGTCCGTCGCTCATATGAACTCGTTTGATGAACGGTTCTGTCATCTTCATTCTTCTTTCAAGTTGATGTGTTATTTTTTTGGCTGTTTCGATTTCTGTGGCATATGTGAACCAATGAAAATATGTGTCTAAATACTATAAACATTGTAATTATCACGGTATCACTCACCACGGTAAAGGTCAACTTGTTCGAGCATAAATGTTGACGATGTCGAACAAGAAACAACAGCATAGACCTGCGCGTATATACATACAGTATATATAGGGAGAGGGAGCCCACCATTCATGCGTTGCTTTCGAATGTTGCACTATGTACATCATCAAAGCTGGACCCTACTCGACGAGTAGGCCCTAAGCGTATGCGGTTGGATACCATTTTATTGGTATCACAAGCATTAAGCAGAAAAACATTTGATCAGGCCCTTGAAGACCCGTATCTTTCGGAAAGCGAAGCCTGCAGTCTTACCCAAGAAATACAAGGAACGTTGCTGCATCTCTCTGTAGAGTGGCGAATAGACAAAATTCTGTGTTGATCCAACCAAAATCCGCGTTGATGGAAAATTGTGGCTACAGTCTACAAACACCCAACCCCATCTTGGGTCTGTCTAAAGATATAGTTTAACATGACTTTTAGATGTCATTGAACGATGTCTTCAACTATCTTTCAAAAAGTAATCAAACGATCTGATCTTCCATCTTAAAAGATCTTATATAAAGGATGTCAAGGTCAAACAAAAACATCTCAAAAACATCAATGCACCAACTCAAAACCGGTCCTCGTGGCTGGAGCCTGGGGCCACGCGCCCCAGTGCAGTGGTTGAACTCTCAGAATGTTGACACGGAGGTATAGCAATCTCATGGGTTTTGGGAATAGATTGGTTTCTGATCTTGATATATCTTGATCCATACTCCATACCCCAATTAGATAATTAGATGGTATTTAATTCCGACAAACGCATGCATCATTAACGGGCATCCCGTATCAACATGTGTGCTTTTGGGGGATGTAGGAAACCATTTTCGAACATGCAGCATCCAGGCTGACACAACCCTGACGCGCGAACCGTGGGTTGGATGCGCGGCCTGGGTGGCATGGGTCAGGGTGTAAACCAGATTGTCAACTTTACGCAATGCTGCAATGCTCGAAGAAACCCTTAGCATTTCACGAAGGTTCTTCCCAGTAAGCCCAGGAATGTGGCAAAAATGGCTTAAGACCAGGAAATATCCTGTCTTTCTCTCTCTCTCTCTCTGTGTGGTGCAGAAGGTTTTTTAACGGCGAAACGAAAGTAACCACTCAGCTTTCCAGCTTTGCACCTGTCATCCCGAGCTTGTTCTCAAAACATGCTTACTCAGACTAGCCAAAAGCATGTTGATATATGTTACATACGTATAGTATCATACAGAACAGTACATCAGTGTTGAAAAATGGAAGGAAAAAGGGACATGCCTTCATGGTTCCCACGGGCTCAAGAACTCATCCTCCGATCTCGATTTGTGAAGAAAACCGGTCGCTGAAGGGAGAACATGAAACTTCTCAGCTTGAACTTGTCAAGGAGCCAAAGATTTCGATGTATCTTCCACCAATCAGCTGTCGATCTTTCTGCCGCCTCAGCCACACAGGCATGTTGCTTCTCGTTTACGTAGAGGTCGCAAGAGCCATGTCATCCACTTCTAAGCCGCCTCTAAGCCTCTATCCTTGAGGTTGTGAGTCCCGTGATGTCCGGTGACGCTTTGCATGGTGTTTAGGATCGCCCCAACTGAGTGCGGTTTGCATCACAAAACGGTTTACACAAGAGCACCTCTGCCTCCTTTGCACAGAGACCATGCCGCCTTGGCATCCCTAGTAAGGCCTGCAACAAACCAGACTTTGGTGGCATCATGGATGTAAGCCTTTGGGAATCCTTGGAGGCATGAGGACGGGGGATGACGAGGTATCTCCGCCCCTTTTGAGAAAGGTCGGTTCGCTTCGTCGGACTTCATCCCTCTCCGGTCGAACCTCGGCTATGGCGCCAGCATGAGAAGCACCCGAAAATATGGGCAACGTGAACATTTGCCCCAAAACTCTGGATGCGTTTGCTGTGATTCGTGTGTGATCCGTTGAGCTACACCCTCATATTCACAAAGGCCCAGAAATCAAGGGTTGAGCTACCATGATTGATACCTTTCAGAACGATATGGTTGGTTCAGAGACAACATGTGAATACCATGTCCGGTTGAGTTGATATAAATAAAATTTGAATAACGTCATTGTAATTCTAATTATATATACAGTATACAGTATAAA